GGGCCCAAACGAGGGCTCCAGGGAAGCCCCTCGGGGTCGGCTGATGGCCCTTGAAACCAAGCACGCACAGTGACACAGGGAGGCTTCGTGCCCACCAGGACCGGCAGGAAAGAGCACCCCTCCAGAGGAGGGCACAAAGCTGCCATCAAACCCTCTGAGACAAGGGACACCACCGCGACCTCTGCACGAGAGACCTGGAGGGTGCTCGGAGAACCGCGGGGCTCCCAGAGCACGAGCTCGGGCAGGGACGAGGCCCCACAGCAGCACTCGGGGAGAAAGGCGAGGGCGAGAGGCAGCTGGGGCCAAGAAACGGACCTGCAGTGAGGAAAACAGCAAGTTAATCAGGACTCACCATTCACAAAAACTCTACAAGAGGCCGGATCCAGTAGGACTGGTGAGTGCGCGGCCCGCGAGGGAGAGGTAGGCAGAGCCGGAGGGGCGCCAGCAGCACCTGTCTCTCGGGGACGAGCACGCGCCTCGAGGCTCGCCAGGTGCTCAAGGCCGGAGCCCTGCTGGCCCCTGCTCGCCGTGAAGGAGCCTAGCTACTGGGGGCACGCATGCCTGTGTGTATCACGTCACGTGTGCGGACGACCCAAGAGAAGCAGAGCAGGTGGGACGTCAGGTGGCGGCCGAGGACTCCGGCTCTGTGACTGTGTAGCTGCACAGTCGCCAATGCACCCATAGGGCATGGAGAGGAAGGGCCCGGAGCCAGGGCCGCGGCACTAGGAGCCCCTTGCACGGCCCAGAAGAGAGGCGGTTCCCATGGGGTGCTCACCCGGCCACGCACGGGCAGGCGACAGACCGACCTCCCACGGTCTCGCCCGTGCTCCTCCCAGGAGCTTACCCTGAGATGAAGGGCTGGCCCGGAAGATGACAAGGGACCCAGGAAGGGAGCAGAAACAGTGCAACATGGGAAGGGCGGAGGGCAAAGACAGCCGACCCCCCACCCGGGACGTCCAGACAACACCTCGGCACGACAGAGGGCACGGGGGGGCGGAGCTCGCCATCCGTCACCACTTTGTAGAATCAAGGGAGAAAACACGGGAATAGTCCGCTAAGACCAGGCCGCAGGAGTGCCTCTGGGCAGAAGGAGTCGGGGTGCAGACACCCACACTGCACTGAGAGCTGGGGGCCACTTGCCAAAACTCACCAGAGAATAAAACAGCAGCTGCATGAACGCCAAGGGCAGGGCAGTGTGCTCTCTGCAGCAGGTGAAGCTGACAGCAGACTTGCAAAGTCATCTTTTACCCCTTAGATTACATGGGTGTCTAAGCTAGACAAAAGTAACCAGACAGATTCTAAGAACTAACTACAGAGACCAGCAGGTGGCCTGGTGGCTGAGGGGCCGGACTCCCACTCGGCTGACTGCGGTTCCTGTCCAGACCTGGCAGCTTGCTTTCTTTCTCTTGTCTCTCTCTCTGGTGAGCACACATGCCCTAGAACAAATCCAAAGTAACAATAAGTAGATTTTGTTAAGAATGAACTACAAAGGGGCCTGTCCCATGCCCTGGTGGTTAAGGAAGCTGGACCCCACAGAGCAAACTACGCAGTGGGGTCGTGGTCCCAGCAGCTTGAAAACATGCCAGACACACACGCGTGCGTACCCCAAACCCCAGTGGGATGGAGAAAGGAGACAGGGCTGCAGCACGACCACACCCCACTGGGAGCACACTCTCGCTCGCTCGCTCTCCCCAACCCCTGGCAAGCACACATGCCCCTTGGCTTTATTTTTTTTAATTAAATATGAAAGGTAAAGCCAAGTAAAATCTTAGGTCTTAAATGAGAAAGAAGTAGAAATGGCGTCTGGCTGGCCAGGCCCTGTGCCCCAGTGCCGTACCCGTGGCCGGCTGCTTCCGGCAGGACCACAGCCCGACAGCACTCAGATCGCGCCCCTCCCTGTCCCCAAACGACGCTACATTCCCACCTTCGCCAAAGTCAGGGTGAAAGCCTCAGACCAAGCGAGCAAGCAGTCTGTGGAGAGGAAGGGCAGCAGACCCTAGGCCTGAGTTACGTGCCGGCTACTTTACAGTGGGCACCTGCGAGTGTGCAGCGCGGACTCCGGCGTACAGCCCGCCAGCCCCGCCCGGTGCTGGTCCCAGGCATGCTCCAGCAGGTCCCTGCGGCAGGGGGGCCGGGGCGCCCCCCCCCCCCGC